GTCTGTCTGTCTGTCTGTCTGTCTGTCTGTCTGTCTGTCTGTCTGTCTGTGTAGCCCTGATGAATACTTGTTTGCAGCCTTTAGCAGCAGTCAAACTGTGCAAGAAGATTACAAAGAATCAAATGTCATTTTCCAAAAGTATAAGTCAGGAGAAGGGCAGATAAAGAAAACATAAAGAGGTAATTAGATGAAGCATTTAAACGGTTCACCTTCTAGGGTTTCTTTTCTTCAGACGGAGCTTGGCATTCATCAAACTGAATAAATTTATAAAGACTTACATTTGTGAGTCATTATAAAACTATAAATCCCTCCATTTTATAATTTCTGTCATTGTGAAGAAATTTATACCACAAACGGTACAAAAACTACAATTCTAAAACACTGAAACAAGAGTTCAAGACTAATTCTGAAAGAAAACTGGTGACTTTGAGATTGTAGATGATAGATGCATTCACAACCTGTGGGATTCTGGAAACTTTTACAAGGCAGAATGAGCCAATAGATTCATGCTAAGATGTGGTATATCATTAAGACTGCACCACAAGAACAAAAAAGTGATTTAGCAAAGTTCTACGTCATGATTAAGCATGTTTTGAAACACATTTTTTTTTGGAAAATATTTTAAAAGCTACCGGTAGTTTAAATTGAATAATATGTATATGTCAAGTGTTAACATCTATCTATCTATCTAGAAATATGTTTTGGATGACAAATATTAGGGAGAAAAGAAGTATAATTGTTTGAATTTTAATTAAGACAATAACAACATACACAATATGTACTATAGTCCACTTATTTGATTTGCTTTGCCTTCTCGAGACAACCACATAACTATCACGTTATCACGGTGAAAACATTAATTGTTTTCTAGAGATAGCAAGATAATTAGCTTGTTATTACAAGAAGAAAGTTATTGATTTCATGAGATAACTAGATGATTAAGCTGTATGAGTAATGAATGAGGCTGGCCAAGAGCCAGTGTTCAGTTTTTTATTTTCCTTTTTCTTTTCACTCATCGTCAGGTTGCGGTGGATGATTGGGTAGTATGAAATACAGTAGAAACAAATCTGACAGGTTTTTTTTAATGAATATTATTAATCTTGACTCCTTTTGCGGGTTAATGCATCCATGGGTGTAGGTTGCATAGGAACCATAGGGACATGTCCCTACCAAAATTTGGGACCGGTCTACTTGTCCCTATACCAAAAATTTGATGTGAATAACAATAAATAATAATTTACAATGCGGCATTGTTTCAGCAGTAGAGGAGTTCTGTGTGATATTGGAGCTCTTTCAGACCAGATAAGCCCGCTATATAAATATACTTTAGTATATTGTACTGTAGCATGGCCTGTCAGTGTCCTGATTAAGAGGATAAAAGGTGGAAAGAAGCCAATCTAGATGGGATTGGGAGATTGGTTGTTTGATTGCTACTTGATAATTATCTTTGCTTTTATTTCTTTTGTTTGTCCATTTATGAGGTTTTCCTCTGTGGGTCAGATTGCAGGATTCTTTTGTGTGATTGTCATTTGTTGTGTTTTTATGTAGATTGTGATTTCAAAATCAATCAAAACACATTTAACAGTTGGTTACAAAGACATCTGTTCCAGGGAGGTTGAGTTCTTCTCACCAAGGCTGAAGGTTTATCCCATCCAAACTACACTGCCCAGTCTATATATGTCAATAATTCAGTTTATAAAACTGATAACAAAATGTTGTCTGACATTTTACAGAAAAAGAAAACAAATTATTTGTGCAAATATGTCGTCCTGATTAATGATAAAGGTGAAGGCCTAAATTTAGTTTAAGAATATCTTTAAAATAAAATGGATAAAAATTTTAAAATATAGAAAACTAAACTCGATCTGGAACTTTATTTCACATCTCCTTTCTGTCCCAGACAGCCTTGAGTTTCTCCTACTCTAATCTCTCCAACTTCCACCAACAAGTAGCCTGCTTTTAGCAAGGCCCCTTATCTATAAACATAATTTTTCTCTGCAATGGTGTGTCATCTGGAATAATAGTTATATTGTACAAAAAAAAGGTCCATATTCTTTCAGAAATTGCTAAACTATGGTGTTAAATATTTCCAAAGTTTAAATCTGCTTGCACATATTTTATGGGGCCAAATATTAAGTGCCCAAAACTAGAATTATTTTTTTTAACAATGTATTACAATAGACATATTTTTTTTAATTTCAAATTAAGTATAACAATATATATATATATATATATATATTTTTTTTTTTTAAATATGTGCATTTAAACAATACCAATACTTCTTAAAAGTTGGGATTGAAAATTACATTTATGCTACTTAAAGCCCACTTTTTAGCACTAGCAGCCACAAATTTATGAGTTTATCATTACACAAAATTTAAAGATTTCTTTCCGTAATTTGAAACCCTTATAAGAAATATTAAATTTATGCAAAAATAGAAACATCCCAAATTGTCCACTAGAGGGAGTCACAGACCAAACAAGAGAGCTGTACTGGCAAAATGTATGATTTTAATGTTTTAACAACTGTCATGTTTTAAACATAAAGTTCTGTGATGACCCAACAGTGCAAGTAATTTTTTAGATTATAATTCAGGACAGTTGAACTGTTCAGCAAATCAAAAATAAAAACCTCAACACAATGGAGCTCAAATACCTTTGAATGCAATAGTTAACAGCCTCATTTAATTAAAAATTATAGAAAAGAAGCCAAAAGAGCTCAAACTGAAACAAACACTTTAAACAAATATACAATGTGTATAAAAATATGAAAAACTATTTCCCCCACCCCAAAAGTCAGCTCCATTTAACCAACACGTTTAATGTGCATGACACTCATTTTAATCAAAAAATAAACAAAACAAAAATATATATATATATATATATATATATATATATAAAACACCAAATTGTTCTTTTTAAGAGGTGTTCCTTTGTGGAAAAAGGGTCTTCAAGGTTTAATTGTACTTAATTTTATTGTGCAGCACCGGACTCTCCACACAGTTTCCTACAAAGAAAAGAAAACCAAAAAAATCAGACTTGGCAGGCTCTCTGTTGCAATTTCTTGCCGCAGCTCTTTTGCACAACTCATCTTACCGTGCCTCCTCCTTGCCCATATCTGCATAGACACAAATAGCTTTGTCTCTGTCCAAGATCTGTTGTTTCAAGCTCCCAATCTCCCCCTGAGCCTTGGTCTTTTCCGCTTCATGGTCAGCTGAAAAAAATAAGAAATGTCTATACTGGATGCTTAAAAAACACATTTAAAGGGTTGCTACATCATCAGGTCCAACATCCAGAATCATGCTTATAAAAAAAAAAAAAATGTTTCTCCACTGTGGGGCAATAAAGGCATTTGTAAGCTTACATGAGTTTAGAGAGCGGCACCAGGAAATAGCTAACTATGCTATTTAACTACACGTCATGGTTGAAGTGTTGGTTTACAGTAACAGCATTCTTCTCTCTGCGGCTTTTCCAGAAGATTTTCATAGGGTTTGCCAAGCACACATTAATTTGCACTGAAGGGTGGCCAAAACTAATGAGCCAATATATATATATATATATATATATATTTTTTT